AAAATGTCTGTAACTTTTCGATGCAAGGTCATACAGAGTTGTGCGAAGTCTTATTTTGATCAGAAACGTTTGCTCTACAAAGCTGTGTTTTCAGAAAAATTTTAATTGCATAAGTATCCAGGAAAAACCATTATTTGAAGACCTATTTTTTTGAGGCTCTTAGAAAACTTGCTCAAAATCCCGAAAAAACCACTTTTGTAACCAGAAGCAATACAGATTCTGGAAGTAGACACTTCAGGTTATCTTTTCATGTGCGTATCTCAAAACCGATTTTTTGACCGAAAATCCCCATTTCTGAGGGGGGGAGGGCCCTTAAGGAGATCGGATGCCCTACTTTATCCATCGAAATTGCACTTGATTTAGGAGAAGGTAGCCGAGGTGCCTTGAGTAAGTATCCACAATGTTTCACGAAGACGATATGGATGCATGAACTTGGGATCTAAATGCCTTCGTAAGGTATCGTGACGTGTCTTTTACATGAGAATGTTTTCTTAGTGATCAAAACAGAGGTTGCCTTTAAAGCACTCCAGCCGCATTTCACTTTTTCGCAGTGTAGTATGTATAATTCATGAAAACAAAATGATAATAAACAAGAATCATTGAGAACAGCCGCATGTTCATAACGTCAACATCGTATGCAGAGAAAATACTAGAAATGGCATGAGAAACACGTTTGATTAGAACTTAGACGATCTGAGTATTATCTTATGTATTTATAATTAATAAGCTTAGCACCATGACGACAAACACAAATAATGAAGAAATTTAAAAACTATGTACATAGAATATTACACAATAACTGATGTATTATCAAATATCAATAAGAAAGTTAATAACTTCAAAAACTTTATGTCTGCTTCAGTGCAGTGTATAATTCAAAAAAACAGAAAGATAACCAGCAAGAATCATTTATATAAGGCTTGTATATAGACTTTTGGAGCTTTGAGAACTAAAAGCGTGTTTTCATGTACAGTAGTAAAGAAAAATAAATGTATATTTTACTTTTTCATGTTAAAACAGGGTTTTGCTTACTTTTCAACTTTTACATCTCACTTTTTTACACTGTTGTGCAGGCGTTCATCAGGCCCGAGCATCTGTTTTCTACAATAAGTTATCATCATCATCATCATTATTTACAACAGCCGCTTATTTAATGTTTTATTCTTTACTCACGGCTATCTTTCAGTCTGCATTGATAAAACTAAAGTATCGATTTTGCACAAAGTCTGAATCTGACGCCCAATATGTGGGTTAGAGTGGAAATGAGATATATAATGTAACAATCATACTATTAAATAGAATTACCGTTTGAAATAAATTTTATTTGTATCCAAAACATAAAATTTGTCTGTAGATGAGCAATCTGTTATACGAAGTTATTTCGTACAAAATAGCATATTATTCCAATTCACAACACAATTAAGTTTTGAAATATCGTAATAAATATTACTCTTTATAGTGACACCAGCTGCTATCTCTGAAGACTTATGGAGTGGTTAGTCTTTTCCTTTGTTTAAATTTCCACGCAATTCATCTGAGACAATATTAAAAAACCTCTTTTTAACCAATCGAGAGAAATAACAAAAAAAGGACATTCATATTAATCGACGCACATCGTATTTATATACCATGTTTTTCTCTTAAAACGAAATTTTTTCGATTGAAAACTTACTTCTTAACCTTTTAGTGACGGAATATATGTTTAATAGATAAGCATGGGTAATGTAGAAACGCAACTAGAGCAATCAAGTGTGCAACGGGCAAGTATAATAATTAGAGATGAGCTTGTGGTGTGATATCTGTTAAATATCATCAGTTTCAATTATTATGTTCATCAACATTTGAAGAATGTTTCTAAAATAACCTTGAATATAATCTTTATTACAAGAATTTAAATACCAAAAACCCAAAAGCTTAAATCGAAAATTGGTTCTTGTACTTCTTTGTCATGGGTTTCGCTATAAATTTAACGTCAACTCGGGCTCATGGTATGACAGAAAAATCTTGTAACCGGGTATTTATCATCGACTGGAAAAGGTATATTCCATGAGAAGTTTCATCTAAAAATAATTTGTCTAGATATTCAACCATGTTTGAACCAATAAATAAGTTGTATCCATGTGTCGTATATGTATTTGCGTGTGTAAATGTTTTTCTACTTTACCTACTTTAACAGTAGGTAAGCAGCTTGTAAGTAACAAATTTGAAAATATAAAATTCATAGAAATAGTTTCTGAATACATCAGTATCAATTTTCGAAAATTTGTGAAAGAACCTAGGATATATAGAATTCGACGGTTTCATCTAACCTTTCACTTGAAATTCTGGTTGATTTCTGGCAAAATTCTATCAGAACTGAGTAGAGTTGGTGTGCATCACACGTCTTTTTGTTCAACGTTTTCGAGATTCGGCTTAATTCCGGTAGTTTTTCATGAAATATGTATTAACCGCTAAACTCGTTGAAAAGCTTTTCGTAAAGGTCTTATTGATCTTGCTTGGGTGATGAACGCTAGCAAAAAGAAAACATCCAACTTGTTTAAAGATTTTATGATTTGTTTTTAAAAGTGTCTTCAGCTATGTGCTGCAGTAAAAGTGTTTTCTTTCCTCGTTTGATTGTCTTAAAAAAAGAGCCCCTATTATGTGTTGCACACAGATACTAGTGATACCTTCTGATATCATTCTTTAGACTTCCTAAGATTACCATTTTTTAGGAGAAAACTTCAGAAAGCAGAGTGCCATAAACTTTTATTTCCCTTTTCTAGCATAATGGCACAAGTAGCAGTGCAGGGAATTCATCTAATGATCCATTTACACTTCAGCAATTTGCTTCATTTTTCTTCTCCAATTCATTAAAATCACCTTTAAAATCTAAACCGGCCAACTATGTATGGGATCCATTATCACTACCCTATTCGGAACTGAAACAGTATTATTCTGTTTGCGTTATTGGAAGTGGTTATGGTGGATCTATTGCCGCTAGCCGATGTTCGCGTGCCGGTTTATCTGTGTGTGTTTTGGAAAAAGGAAAGGAATTTCTACCTGGAGAGTTTCCCGAACATGAATCAGCAGCTATGAAAGAAATGAATTTTTCAAGTTATCAACACGGTAAAGCGAATTCAGCAGGACTGTATCAAATACATTGCGGCAAAGATGTAAGTATAGTACACGGTTGTGCACTTGGAGGTACATCACAAATCAATGCAAATGTAGCATTAGACCCAGATGAATTTATCTACGATAGTCTATTATGGCCAAAGGAAATCAAGGATGATTATAAAACAGGACAACTAAAAAATGATTGGGCGTTAGCCGCTGACATGTTGAAACCGAAGCCATTTGATATGAAAAAAATAGGTGTACCAGCCAAATATAACGTTATGAAAAGACTTGCTGAAACAATTCCCCTAGAGGAAAATCATGATATCGAAGATATTTTTTACACGCCACCGTTATTCATCAACATGGAAGATACGAAAGAAAATCATGTTGGTAAGTAACTATACATGATCGATGTTTCGTGAAGCTGTTAAATACATTTTTCTTCTTTTAGGTATATCTCAACGTGCATGTAATGGATGTGGTAATTGTTGTGGTGGTTGTAATACATCAGCTAAAAACACGTTGACAATGAATTATTTACCGGATGCACGAAATCATGGGGCACAGATATTTACTCGTTGTGAAGTTGTGAAGATAGAACCTTATTATAACAGATCTTCTTTGGTAACAGAGCACAAAATTAATTGGACCGTACATATTCGTTATACACAATCAGATTGGGAACCATTTGGTGTCATTGATGATGTAATCTGGTGTGAATACGTGTTTCTGGGATCTGGTGTTTTGGGAACAACTGAATTGTTACTACGTTCTCGACAAGAAGCACAGTTAAGTCTATCATCTACCTTAGGTACACATTTTAGTGGAAATGGGGATATTTTGGGATATGCTGCTAACACCGTCTACGAAACGAACGGTATTGGATGGCCTACTGCTTATCCTCATCAGCCACCTACTGACACAATTCCTGGACCAACTATTTTAACTGTGATAGATCGGCGTAAAAATAAATATTGCTCTGGCTATGTTATCGAAGATGGAACTGCGCCCTATATTGTTCAAACCATTTACAATCTTATTATAGCTATTAGTAATGGGAATGATATGTTTAATACGGTTTCTCGAGGTTTAAAAAATTCATTGAGTTTTTTGACGATGAGTCATGACAATAGTGGTGGAAGAATAGTTCTAAGTGAACACAATCATCTTACCATTAAATGGAAGCTTGCTGGAGAATCGTTTCAAGTTGATAACGTCGCTCGTCAGAAAGAATTAGCCGACACATTAGACGCAAAGTACGTTCCAGATCCGATATGGAAAAAATTTTTTGGTAAGAGATGAACTCTAAACATTAAAAATTTTTGATAAACGATAATCAAATTATTACTTTTGACAAAAAAAAAATGTTTCTTGAATTACTAAGAATTACGTTGAATATTGTATCCTCTTTAGGTTATCCATATCTAACTGTTCATCCATTAGGTGGTTGTCCATTGTCAAGTTCCAATTCAGGTTTAAATGGTGTTGTTAACCATAAAGGTCAAGTATTCAAAGATGATACAACTGATGTTTATGATACATTATACATTGTTGATGCTTCCATCATTCCATGTTCAATTGGTGTTAATCCAGTGCGAACAATATGTACTCTTGCTGAAAGAATTATGAGGTTAGCTAGTATTGAACATCAATTTAAAATTAATTATTCATTGCCATCTACAATTCCTGTTAAACGATCTGAACCCAATAAAATTACATTAGAATTTACGGAGCGAATGTGTGGTTGGTTTAACAAAGATCATAAACAACCCTTAAATTCACCATTAGAATGGTGGAAATATGAACATGATAATTCAAATATCGTTCAAAATGATAAGAATTACAGTGAATTTACACTTACTATATTCACGGATGATCTTCATTCGTTCATAAATCGTTCGGATCATCGTGCAATTATATATGGTCAAGTTTTAATTCGTTCACTATCATCTAAACCGTTTTATGTTAAACAAGGTGAATTTAACCTGTTTATAAATTCTTTAACAAATATTGAAACAAAAGAAATGGTTTATTCAATGATATTGAGGGATAATAAAGGAGGAGAACCCTATTATTGGAAAGGAGTCAAATATGTGAAAAATAATGATGATTTAATATTAAAACAAGCAATTAAACAAACAACAACATTATATGTTACAGTTTGGAAAGGTAGAAAATAAATATTTATATGTTGTTTTAGATTAATATTTAATTATTTTGATTATTTTAGGTATTAATGGTAATCATGTAGAAAATATCGTTGGACATGGTATCGTTCGAATAGAGTTTAACGATTTTTTAAAACAATTATCAACATTAAAGATAGAAGAATTACATCCTGAACAAAATATAATTAAACGTAATTGTCAAAAATTAAAATATGGATATGAATTTATTCAATTTTTTTGCAAATCTTTAACAACTGTCTATCTAGCTAATTTAAGATCATTTAATAAACCGGATATGTCCATGTTAGTTACACGAACAAGACGAGAATTAACTGTGAATAAAACATGTCATTATTTTCAAACAAATGATCATATACAACTGTTACTTATACATTTTACATCAAAAGAGGATTTAAAGATAAAAATTGATAATATTCCATTATTATTAATGCCTGGTTTAAACACAAAGAGTCAACAATATTATCATGATACAAATGAAGTAACATTAGTAGAATATTTAGTTAAATTAGGTAACTTTTTTTTGTTTTTTTTTTAAATATTTTGATCTATTTATAACTTTTATTATTACTTCTCATCTTCTTCTAGGTTATCAAGTATGGACATTAGATTGGCGTTCAAGTCCTCAATTACCATCTCATACAAGTCAATATAATTTTGATCAAATAGCTCAATATGATATACCAGCTTCTATTGAAAAATTACTTCAATTAACAAATTCAAAACAGTGTAATCTATTTATTCACTGTCTTAGTTCAATATCTACTTTTATGTCACTATTAGGAGGTTATATTTCTCCAACTTGTATTCGATCAATATTAAGTAATCAAGTTGCCTATCATATAAAAGCAACAATGTTTAATCGACTTAAAGCATCAATTGGTGCTGCTGAATTATTAACAATTTTGGGAATGTCTACTGTTGCTGTTAATACTGATCTAAAACATCAAACATTTCAAGAATTAATATTTAGTAAATTTGCAAAATTTACAACAGATACAGTATTATTAAAACATCATGAAGAATATTGTCAATCAGATGTATGTCATCGACTTACATTTATTTATTCATTATTATATAAACATAATAATTTAAATACTTTAACACATCAAACAATTGGTAAGAGAAAAATAATAAATTACTAATTGATTAATGATATTTTTGTCGTATTTAGGTGAGTTAACTGGTGATGCAACAATGGAAGCATTTCAACATTTAGAAAAAATGTCTAAAATGGGTTACGTTACACCATTTAATGAAAAATTAGATAGTAATTTTTATTTTGGTGAAGATAAACGTCAACGTTTGCAAGAATGTTTAAATATACCCATAATATTTGTGACAAGTGAAGAAAATTCTGTTTGGTTACCTGAAGGAATGATGGAAACCTATGATGAATTAAAACAAGTGAATCCAAATCAAAATTATCAATTATTGACATTACCAAATTTCGGTCATCTGGATTCGATATTAGGAAAACAAGCACACGAAATAACATTTCCAAAATTTCATGAATGGTTCAATCAATACAGAGCCTGATTATTTCTAAATATATTTATATAGACAAACGAAGTACTCTTAACTCTCGGACATTAAAAAAATAGTCAATAGAAACAATGGAATCTTAATTTTTTTTGTCTTTTACAGAGTTTTACTTTAGCAAATGGGGAAAAAAAGAGATCATAAACGACTTTAAAACATTATCTACAGTTCTTTGCCGTCAAACTCAGGATGAGAAATGTTGACTTTTTCAACTTTGTAGAATAACTTTTAAAATTACATTCTAGACTTAAAAGTCGCAGAATTTTGTCTAGTATTTAATGATATGCTTCGGTTAGAATATAACGTTATTCTTTCTTTAAAACTTCCAAAATAGTAAACTCCGTCAAAATATGACTACTACTTGAATAGTAGTCTGTTTTGTAAGTGAATTTTTCTATCACGTATAGCCATACAAATAATCACGTAGGTACCAAAAATTTTACCTTTCCAAGCTCTACAAAATCCTGTGAATGAGATAAAAAGATAACATTTAGTTTTGTTACAAAAGTGAGTAACTTTAATTCTCATTTTCTATGAAAATCAAAAAGTTTGAAAAATTAAGCACACGTAGGTTGTTTGTATAAGATTTAAAAGGTAACAGTTCAGTTACAAAAATTTTTTTTATAGACCAGAATATCAGAAATTCTTTGCACTTGCTGTCAATATGCTCGGTTCAATATTAAGTCATAGTCTTATTTCTGTTCGAATAAAAATTGCAGTTACTATTAATTCTAAACGAGGCATTTCATTAAATACTAGAGAAACTTCTACGACTTTTAAGTCTAGAACAAAGGTTTAAAAATTATTCTACAAAGTTGAAAAAGTCAAAATTGTTCACCCTGAATTTGAGGTCAAACGACTGAAGCATTTGTTTTAATATGTGATTTACTGTATGGAAAAATGTCTAATTATCTCACATTATAATTTATAAATAAATTCTCTTTCTTTCTAAGATAAAAAATGACTCTGTTGTCTTTCGGTAAAAATCATAAGTTCAGACGCAGGATCGTACTAAAAATCCAGTTTTCCAAAAAGGATGCAAAAATAGTTCACGAATTTATGATTTATGCCTTTTTCTTGTTTTTTAAAAAACAAAAAGTTGTTTAGCACCTGTCATATCGTTCAAATGAAACTATTTGACATAATTAACGGGTGTTCCATAAAGAATGGCACTGTTTGTATTTTGCGCTTTTCTCTGTTAATTTTGATAGTTGAGACTTGAACTTTTTTCCAAAAGATAGCTCATTCAATTGTCTACAGAATCATATGAAAAGAGTTCCTGTAAAACACAATGGTAAAATCCTACGCAGCCAACACTAGTATGCGTCTGAAGAGAACCGCTACAAATGCCCTTTTCCCCTAAAACTAATTATCGTGTCCCGAAGGCCACGAAGACTTCAAGTCACTCTGGAGAACGTTTTCCTATGTTTTCGACTGTGTTTTTTCTCATAGCGCTAAAAAAAAGTCGGTCGAATTAGATGATGAAGGGCTAATGCCCATTTTGCTTGAAAACTTGCTTGGATTAAATGTAGATTTCAATATCGCTCTCTCTCTGTTGTAGAAGTTTTATTTTATACGTATTTGATCTTTTCACGATGATAGAAGAAGCATCTTTGCATTCTACACAATAAACAACTCCAATTTTTCTATGATTTCTTGCTTTATATTTATGTGAGAAACTGTTACCGAGTGTTTGATACTTTCAAAATCCAAATCCTATATTTTTTGTAATACTAAATTTGTTGAGAATTCTGTTTAAACTTGAAACAAATTTCTTTGATTCACTTCCTAGATAATAAAAGCAAATATTCATCTCAATTTTATCCTTGGAATTGACAACTGGTTTAGAAGAAATAGTGATGTGTCTGTTGCAGTATCTTTCAAATGTGTTTTTAATAGTTGGTTTTACTGTTTTGGATGGATGACCATTCGCACTAAGAATGGCTCTAAGTCAAGAAATTTCATTATCTAATAAACTTTTTTGTGAACAAATTCGAATCACTCGCATAACAAGACATTTGATTGAAGCAACCTTTTGATATCTTGGTGACCCAGAGTTCCATTTCACGTATAGTATATGCCAGTATACAGGGTTTGTATAGATTTACAGTGTGATTGTTTTCAGTGACATGTACAGATATTTTTGAAAACAAATGTATTTTAAGTTTTCTAGTTGATTTCTTTCTCCCCTGTTTCAACTATATATATAATCATTTCTCTTCTAAATTCGACAATCACATTAGCTTAATGATAGTACTGAGAAGTATCGAATCTCTCTTTTTATGGAAAATGATTTTACGAAAATGTTTTTCAATTATATTAAATACACTTAGTTTAATATCAAAGAATGTCAATATATAAGATTACCAGAGTGAATTAAGCCATTTTTGAAAATATACTCTAGCATCATCTTCGTTTTCTTTTTCGATTTATGGCTTAAATTTGGGGACAATCGAATTTTTTGCCCCGATCTTTGCCAACACGATCAAAAGACGCGGTATCCTTAACAGTAGAACATAATTAGTTCTCAACACACGAATGATCACAGAATTTGCTTAGTCGTACTGAATAACTGAACTCATTCTAAATTGATACAATCAAATTGTGTTCTCTATTAACCGAACATTATTTATGTGATAATTATTACGGCAGAAACAGACTTACAATTAAAAAAAGAAAATGCTCAAAAAGAAGAAAAGTATAGAAATTATTCATGCTTTTATTTATATTTGACACTTTGCCATCCGTATCGATCGTACTGTTGACGTTGATTTTTATCACTGAGAATAGCATAAGCCTGATTAACTAGTTTAAATTTTTCTTCTGCTTGTTTATCTCCTGGATTTCTATCAGGATGCACCTCTTTGGCTTTTAGCAAATAGGCGCGTTTGATCTCTTTTTCAGTGGCTGTACGTGATACGGCCAAGATCTGATATAAATCGAGATCTTGATCTTTGGGTGGAGGTTGACGAGGTGGTGCCTCTTGAGATCGACTAGACCTAAAATGAGAAGATAGAAGAACAAACGTAAATATCCGAAAACTCGTTTATTTGTTTATATTTAGATCTAATAAGCATTAAAAAATATCGTTACCTTCTGTAAGATTGTTGTTTTTGTTGCTGGTATGAATATGACTCTTGCTGGTACTGTTGTTGTCTTTGACGGGTATAATCCGTGAAAGGTTGTTGAAAATCATAGGCAAACTGACTTGATTGACTCTTATAATCTTTCCATTCACGTTGTTTTTCTCGTCGGCGATAATATTGTGGATATTGTTGAAAAAATTTACCAATTAGTGGACTAATCAATAGAGCGAGAGGAATAATGACTTTTGGGGATAAAAAATCGGTTAAATCTGGTAAATCGGTTAGTATGGTGAGGCATGTGGTGATAAAATACGTTGCAGGATAAAACATCACTAGTGAGAGAGCGGTTATTTTTGAAAATGAATACTGCCGGTTTCCAACAACACGACCACTAACTCCACTAATCAAACATTGAAAGTCTTGACTATCGTATAAATAATCAACAATCTAAATAAGAGGAAAAAATCAACAACATAAACATCCTCAACTATCAAAACATTCATGCGAAACTTTACAAAAGTAAAAAAAAAGAACGTTCTAAACGTACCCAAAACGGGTAATAGTAAAGGTTCTGTATTTTCTTTCTTATATGATATCTAAATTGTTGTACTCGATAATCACTGTATCCTGGATAAATCTGTCTCATTTGTTGAATACATTTATGTTTTAGATATTTAATGATATCCAAATCCCATCCAATTTGAAAAGCTGTTTCAGCATCAACAGTGTATTGTTCGACTTCAATATTTTGAGAATATTCAATTGGCGCTGGATAATCATTAAAAGCAATTTGGAATTCATCTAGATGATTTCGATCATGTGAATAAGCGGCATAAACATTAATATTTGTTAATGATACATGATCTAATGATAACTCAACACTGTACCATTGATTGTAAGTAACGAGTGATTTACCGACCTAAAACAAAAAAAATACGAAATATATAAGAAACTTAATAGTGAAAATAAGGAGTACTATTAGATATCACATGGTGGAGATTAACACAAAAAAACCAGGCTACTCTGTAAATAAGATACTTCATATTCGAAGTTACAGCACTACTTTATTTTTGGCTTAATCATACATCATTCGATAGAGAATTTCACGCCGATCAAGAATATCTAGTTTTTAGTCTTCCCAGTGCACATTATCAATGAAAAGAATTTGAAGGATCTCTTATTTTGAAAAACCACTAATTTTTTAAAAAAACTGAATACCTTACTTCCACCTCATTTTGAAGCCGTGAAACTATGTTTTTCTTATTCAGCATTAAAAACCGCATACAGGAAACTATATTTCAAGGTTCCAGAACGAAAAGTAGTCTTCGAGCGACAAACGAAGCCGAAAGTTCTTCAATTTTCACCATACTCATTTTGGAAACCCATCTACTTTGTTTCATTAAGCGATGAAGTCAGCTTTCATACGCCATTCGATTCGCCTTGAAACATAGAATAAAAGTATAAATCGCTTTTTTGAAATTCCTTGCTGAGAAAATTCATTTTTTCTAAATCTAAGGCGAAAAAGCCTGAATTCTGCTCGTTATCCTCAATTTTCTCAATCAAAACTCAATTTCTATGTAATAGAAATATCATATTCGGAATCAGGATGAAAAACTGAGTCGACTGATGTTCATCTCTGGCCTATACGAGTAAATTAAATT